TGCATCGGATCGCGTCAATTTCGAATCTCGGGACGATTTTAAAAAGTGCTCCCAACAGGGGTCGAACCTGTGACCTTGGGCTTATTAGACCCACGCTCTAACCAACTGAGCTATGAGAGCTGTGGCCTGGGCTAGTTATGCGCATCGTATACAAATGGGGGTTTACAGGAAAAATCGTCAACAGCAGGGTTCGAACCTGCGCGCGAGTTCGCATTTGATTTCAAGTCAAACCCCGTAACCACTTGGGTATGTTGACAACGCTTTTGGGACAGATAAATATACAAAATAAGTGTTTGGTGAATTTCGCCTATATTGTGCGGGAACCATACGGCGGAGTGGCCGAGTGGTCTAAGGCGCCAGATTTAGGCTCTGGTCTTTCGAGGCGTGGGTTCGAACCCCACCTCCGTCAACGTTTTTAAGTCTTACTTGACCTCTCGAACACACCACACTTTCCGAGTTGACACCGCGAGCGTGGCGCAGTCGGCAGCGCGTGGGTCTCATAATCCCAAGGTCGTGAGTTCGAGCCTCACCGGTCGCAACTTTTTTTCATTCCAGATAGCCCTTGGGAACGAGAGAAGCACATCGCAGTTCCCGTTTTGGGGGAGCAATGGCGACGCACGACGACGGGTTTTTCATCATAGCTAGAATGTTCTTGTGCTCTAATAATATGACAGAAACAAAAAGATGTATGACAGGCAGAAGAACAATTCCGCTCTGAATGACAACAAACGTGACAGTTGATCAGGGTCTCAAATAAATTATGAAAAGAGGGCTTAGCGGTTTCTATGCCTGTGCGCGGACACCCCCCTGATCACTGCTTCTCTAAACTACCTCCTGGATCAGCGGGAACCTGACACGCAACGAACCACACGCGCGCCAGAGCGTGCCGATGAGGAACTCCATGGCATGGCACAGTTCTTTTGTTGAAGCGAGGCACTCAACGTGGTGGACCTCTCCGCCGTGTTGGCCCAGTTTGGGCACAATATCACTGGATGGAATGACGGTCATAACATTCTTGTGAATCAGGCGCAGATTCGCGTCAAACTTTTTCCGGCCTAGTAGGATACCGGGTGCGGAGAACGCAACCGCCTTGATATCCAGTTGCGCAGCGAGAATCGCGGCGATGGCCCCGCCGAGCGAGTGCCCGGTCAACACCACATGCTTTGGGTGGTCGGGTTGCAGGGCGCGAAAGACGAGGTGGTTGTACGCATCCGCATAAAAATTACGACGGTAGTTGTTGTGTCTGCATTCCCGCAGCGACCTGTTGGTGGAGCTCAGGAGATGTGCCCAGGTCTCCTCACTGTCAGCCTCAACGTTGGAGAGACCGCCGACAGGGCTACAAAACTTCTCCTGAAGGGAGGCGACGCGAATGAGGTTGACAACAAGCTCCTTCGGTACGACCACCGCGCCTGGCACAATCATGGTCATGAGCTGGTATAACACCGTCTCGAAAAAAAGATTTATATCAATGAGAAAGTCTTTGAAGGAAGAGAGATCCGTGCCACGCACCGCAATCACGGACATGTTTCTAGAGGCACTATAAAAGTCATAAAAGCCTGTCCAGCCGGTGGGCTCGTGGCTTGAATCCGTCGAAACACACGCAGTGCCATGGCGCGGCTGGACAATCCAATCAGAGCCCATATTTGTATTCATGAAGTTTAACATGGCGCCTATCTCGTCTGTGTTTGAGAGGTATGGGGCAAGCGCCAGTAGCGCCAATTCCCACACCGAGGTCCCGTAGTAGTCACGTGTGCATAAGTACGGGTAAAGGTCTTCGTTGCCGTCGGAGATGGGTTCGAGCCACTTGAAACTGCTGAGGTTCACCTTGGGCAAAGCGCACGACGTGTCGTCGGTATCGCATGTTAAGTTAGACCGAGATAGGAAGTGCATGCGCACTACAATATGGTCAAAGGTAAGAACACGGCCATCATTCGACGCGCGGACGCGTACGGGGATGGGGCGCAGTTCAGGAAAGGCCGCCTGCACCAACATACCACTCACAATGAGGGCAAACAAAAGGCATATTGTAATAGTCACAGCCCGAAGGACGATCCGAACGGTACTAAAGGTCTTCCCGATAAAGTTGACAGGACTTTGCAGCGACAAGAAACGGGGCAAGACGTAGAAATAAAACTCTTGACTGCGCAGAAGACGTCGTGCGGCGCCATAGGGGATGATTTGCCTCCTCAAAATCGGAATTTCAGTGCCATCCGAGTACCTGATCAGCATGTGCTCCACGTCAAAAAACGAATCTAGACTCACAATAGCGAATTGCTTGTCGTCCCTTCTATAGGCATCCTCCAGGAGGATAGCCAAGGACGGCTCCAGAAGCCTTTCGTGATCCCGCAGGGAGCAATCCACCCAGTGTACCGAGCCGTTTTCTGTCATCTCAAACTCGCGTACGAGGTCGATCCCGCGTGCCACCAGCAACATGTTGACCCCGAGCAGCATCACACACGTCAAAATGTGGTTCTGAAAGTGAACAAGCCCGCTTAAAAGCATCATCTCATAGGGCAACACCACCGTGAGCACAGGCAGACGGGCGTCTGGATGCCACCGCAGCCATCGGTAGGACCACACAGTTCGAATCGTGGCGGAGGTGAAGGATAGGGACAAGTAGGCAAAGAGGTGAGCAGAGTTGAGACACATGATCATCAGTACCGCGGTGGTTAGGCTTCGTAACGGGCCGTGGGGAATCCCGGCAAGCACCGAAAAAAACACAACAAATACAAGGGCTATGTATCGCATCAAACTGATGTGCTCTGTCCACCACTCATTTTCAATGTGGGCGAAAAGCTTTTCTCTCCGAATCGCCTCAGCTCTCACGGCCGATGCGACCCCTCGGCCACCTTCTGCCCTCTGTAAGTGACCATTCACCTCGCCGTTGCTTTGTCCCACTGCCGCTATTTTGCCATTTCTTTGCTTCAAGGTCTCTCCCACTAATTTGTCTTGGCCAAACACAGGGTCGTTTTCGGCGCGTTTGCTCAACGGCAGCGAGTGTGCTTCAGAAGCTCCTGCTCGCAGGGCGTTCCAACCCTTCTCAGCGGGCTCAAGCATCTGCTGTGGTTTGTGTGCATTAATCAACTTCGATTGAACCCAGTGCGGCACGGTCAGACCCACGTACAGGGACTGCACGATCCCAACAACCAAGGTGGCGATGACGACGACGAACTCCTTGCGCATGAGAAACTCAATGATGCTGGTATAAAAGACAAAGATAAAAGAGAAGGAAAGAGTGACCATGACACCCAGGAGTGCTGCTACACGGATTGGCTTCTTCATCAGAAACTGGAGACGCGCACGCGTGAGGGGGTAATCCTTGCCCTGGTGCTTTATATAGGCGTCAAGCATGGCCTCGGTGATGCCGTTAAGCATCTTGTGTCCAACTGTGGCGATAGAAATGCCTAGCGTCGTAAAAGGTGCGACTCTTCGGAAAATATCACACAGACCTAATAGCAATGTCCATGTAGATGAAAAATTATAACTGTTTTTTTCCATTTCCTGAGTTACCGGGAACACCAACCGCCATACTACTAGCTCTAGTGCGTTGTGCGTCATCGCGATCGTCACAACGATCGCAGGGATGTAATACATGCTGAACACAAGACGGACTAAGGTGTCTGTGTAGAGTGTCGCTTCATTTGGAAGGTACAAGGAGCGCAAAGCGGTTCGACTAAACCGCACACTTCCTACCAATGTTCGCCTCAAAATACCCCAAATCATTCGTACTTTCCCTTGAAGCTGCCTCATTTGGAATAATATTCTCAATTATCACTATGCTTCTGAGTTTATTTTTGTCTGATTCGTAAATAGCTGACGAGAGATGAAACGCTTTTGGCAAGCGTGCTTGATGATATGGTTATCCCGTAAATGTATATATGTCTGTGTATTTCCTTTTACAAAGTGTGGATCACACTGTAAATCCGAATATTGTTCAAAAACTAGACGAAAAATCATACATCTATTATTATTTTTGGATTACATTCAAGCCTCAGAAATACCGTAAGAGACACAACAGTTGAAGTTTGAACCGATAATCAAGGACTGGTATGAATGCGTAAATTCGGGAAAGGGGAGACTAATGTTTAGAGTCATCAGTGTGAGTGTACGTGTATCACACATAGGATATTTCGTTCACCACGAGAAACAGTCAATTGCTACGTGATAGCATCCATTCCGAGAATTAGACTATATATTATTTTTGAATTAGTATATACAGAACTCAGATGTAAGTATAAACGATAAGAAGAACATCCTCACAGCTCTGTTATAATCATAAGCGAATAAATTCTCAAAAAATGCTTTCCAATAAAAAACTACAACTTTGCGCCTTCACACACATCCGCGTAACAATGCAAAAGTTTTTTTTTCACTGTTTTCATCTCCTCAGCAGGGCTCATGGTTTTGAGCCACCGTAGAGGTTGCAACTGCCTAATGAGCTCGTTCATTGGGGAGAATACGTTCTTACCACTAGGGGATGACGACTCTGGAATATGTTCCCCTTGTTTCCCCCCTGGCTGCGTGTTTTTTAACCGATTTTGCATCAAAGGAAGCTCCAAAAGAGAATCAAGGCAATTTTTGACTGTATCATTGTTGCACACAGTCACGTACTTGATGACATTCTGCTCCTCGAACAGGCTTAAAGCGGTCTTAAAAATGGCGGTCACCATCAACTTTGAGAAAAGCGGTTGCTCAGGAAACGTTTCAAGCAGTACATGCGTCGCTACGCAGACCATGTACAAGATATCCATGTATGGGAAAATGAGCTGCAACAAAAAATCATTGAGCTGAGTGATGGGTACCGAAATGAGATCTCCCTTACCCCTGGCTTCGCTGCCTCTGCCGTGATGTTGGTTGTCCGGTCCGCATTGCATTGCCTCACCCAATTGAAGCCGCGCCAGTGCGTGTTGCATCCAGGCGTCAAGGCTATCTGGGCAACTCTTTGAAAAGTCTGGGAATTCCTTGGAGAGAAGTTGGCGAAGCAGTCGCGCCGTATCCACTAGCACAGCTAGTTTTACCACTCGTGCAGTACTCCCATGGGAGGAAGAGGAAGCCAGCGTACCATAACCATGCGCTACAACGGCCACAACTGCTTCATCTATAAACAAGTGAACTAACTGATTAGCAGATATGTGAACACCAAGGCGGGATGTTGCGGTTGGTGGATAGTACAGCACTTCACCAACATCGGTGTTGCCAGACTGCACACAAAGGAACCGACCAAGGTTTTGCATACCTTGTTGCGTAATCCGTGATATGTCAGGCGTAGGGGCCAACAAATGCGAAGGCTTCGTTTTATCAGTCGAACCATTCATGCCATCACCGCTCGGAGGGGCATAGAATATCGGACTTAGATTCCCACCCCTCTGTTGGACTGCTTCTATTAGCATTACTATAGTTGTGTGCAGGCGCGTCAGCGATAGGCCGATGCCCTCGGCCTCACAAATGGGCATGGCGCACTCGACGGCCGAGGCCACCACCGCCGCCGGGGTGATGACGATATTCTCCTGGAGTTTGCGCGTAATATGCCAGCCCAGGGAGCCTAGCAGCGCCGCGGGTGGCTTATGTTCGCTGCGGGACTCCGCATTTCCAGTGAGCTGGACAGGACCACTAACGGAGGGGTCAACATTGGCACTGCCATCGTGAAGGGCGCTGCTCGAGCTGGGCCCCTTTCCGGACTCCGGGAGAGGTGGGCGCCGATCCCAGGTCTCTGTGAATTCCCTAAGTGAGATCGCATCGCCAAAATGCATGTGGATGTTGCCATAGCGGTGCTTGAGGTTTCGGAAAGCCTTGATCATGTTACTGACGTTTTCCCTGGGTTTCGGAATGCCCAGAAGCTCTTCCGCAAAAATCTTAGCTTCCAACACTTCATCATATGAAATGCTTATCGGCACGAATAGAACATCATCCAATAAGCCCTTCTCCTTCAAGTCCCAAAAAACATCCATGATGAACTTGAGCATTCCCAATTTTGGTGCCTTTGTCTTCCCCGTACGGCTGCGCATCGCTTCGATAAAAAACTCTATCGGCAGACGGCGTATCATCAGCTGATGAATGTACTTCTTAAACAGTGCAGTATACAGTACGTCTCCTCGGAAACTTCGTCGTATGAAGAAAGATCCGCTTCCACGCATTAGATTTGCAAGCTTGCCTAAGCCAAGAAAGTCTTCACCGGTTACCACATGCGGTGGGGATAGACCCATAGACGCAAGCATATCAGACATGAGGAGGAAGTCGGTATATGAACGATGCAACGGAATGTAAATGAGCTCAACACGTGGCATTCTGCTCCATCGAAAGAGGCGCTCGTACGTGCCGTCGTTGCAACTAACCGCGCAGTATATGGTGTTTAGAAACTTATGAACCAATATACCTATAGAGCGGCAGTGGAAGTGGTTCTGAGTATCACCGATGCGCAAGATCAATCGCTCGGCCCGCTCCGCGATTTTATCCTCCGATAGCGCTTCTGATATGGCAGTGTTTGATATTTCTTTCTGGACGGAAGGACTTTCGAGGATGGCTGAAAGTACTTGTGGGGTTATACCTCGCACCATCGGACCGCGACAACCCGTCGCACACATGCCTGCACGGATGCTATGATCAACAGGCCCCAAGAGCTGACGCCATTTCGACGGGAACGGAGGCTCTCGTGATTCAGGTACGTAGATAAAGTCATTTACAAAGGAGTGGACTGGCTTTGGCAGCTGCATCAGCTGCGGGGTTAACCGATAAAGTTGCTCGGTGTTCAACCAACATAGGGCAACATGTTGCAGGGCACTGCGTGCGATGCAGCGGATGTACATACTCCATTCTACCTCGTCTAAGGAAACGTACTGGCTCTGCGGAGCTGTGCGGTACGTGCGCTGAAGAAGTGTTATAAGATCCTCATACGCAATTGACCCAAAGACTGTATTCCTATCTTCCGATGAGGCGTGGGGCGTGATGATGTTATTCAGACCGTTGCCATGCACTTCCTTGTCGTTCCAATTAACAAGTCCCTTTCTAAGCGAAATCAAACGCAACAAGCTTTTCCCACCTTCGTTATTTGCACCGTTGTGATGTTTCAAAGCCTTTTCGACTTTTTGTATGGCCTTGTCTAAATTTAAGAAAAAATTTGAAATCCTCATTTTATCAGGAAAGATTTCCAGAAGTCGCTTTCGACGACGTTGTACTTTGATCTTCTCTGCATATCGTGAGTAGTCTACTGCTTCGGGACCCCAATTCGCAACATCTTGTGGACTGAACACGAAATGAATCGTAGGGGAATTGTTAAAGAAACCCTCTGCCGGAAACATCGTAGAGATTTTCTTGGCATAGCGGCCGTAGTAGTCGAGGATGTACTCGCTTACCATGCCCCATACTAACGCATTGTTGTTACTGACGTCCAGGGTGACTACCCTTGAATCTGCACTACCTGCTGTGCTCGCGCCAATAGGGAAGGTTGGTTTGATCAACTTATTTTGAATAGCTGCAAATGCGACGAGTCCGATATTTATAGCAACATCTACCGGGACGAAGGACACCCGGTCGCGCCGCAACACGGGAAGCTGACTTAGAACACCTAACGCGACACCGGCACTCACGCTTTCCACCGTACCCAGGATACCGCTCGGCCCCAGGACGCTACACTTGGTGAGGCTAAAGTGCAGTGCTGGTGGACTGAGATCTTCGGTGCGTACGACCACCAAGTTTGGGGCACGCGAAGTGCAAGTAACATTACCACCTCTTTGAAAAGATGACATGAAACGAGAAACAAGACTGACAGCATAGGGATCACCATCTGTGATGAGCAGTAGATGCCCAGGAAACGTATTTCCCAGAAGATTACACAATCTCTCTATTTCGGATATTGCCTGCGGGTTGGTGGCTGAATCCTTCTTCACGATCGTCCTAAGCACATAAACTAGTAAATCCCGCTGCGGATGAATGGTGAGTGGCCCACCCGCATGGAGACTAATACGCTCCAACCGTGCAGGTATCTCACCACCTTTGGGCCCCGCTTGGCCGTAATAGTACTGATACGGAACATCCATCTCAGCTCCCCCATGGCAATAGCACCGCAAGGCTTCTTTTCGGATGGCGTCCAAAGCTGCTGCTGCCTCATATGCGCCCTGCTTCTGGTGTACATTAGTATCCGCATTCCCCCAGGAGACAGTGGGTGAATCTGAAGGCCTTCGGGCAGTGGGTTCACTGCTACCGTCACCGGCAAACGCGACGTGCTGCGTAACAACAACATCTTGGGATTGATGAAGAAAAGGGGTTAGGGCTAGGCTCGCCGCGCACACAGCGCCGTAATCGTTAAGGCTGTCGATAAGAATCACACGATTAAATGTCTTGGAAAGCTTGAAATCATCTGTTGCCATTTATTTATATGTATATAATTAAATTAACTAATTAAAAAATCCTAATACAATTATCCTATAAAAGGTAAATAGCTATAAACGCTCGCGTATATGCATTCAAATCAATAGCACGAATACCTGACTTTCATTGAAAGCAGTTTAGACAAAGGCAAATGCAACTTAATGATGCTCCTCATTCGAGGGAAAAAGTCAGGCCATGTATACAATAGTTAAAAGGCCTCGATCCATTCTTATCTTGAAGTAGGAATACTACCCTAATCACAGCGTCTTGTGCTTCAAATGTTCGTCTATGATGATATAATGTGTCTTTGTAGCCTTGAAGTTGTTACTCTACGCACTTACTAGAGCATAGGAACAAGAAGCCATACTAAAAGATTTCTGTCATGTATTTAACAACCCTTTAGCGTTGTATTATCCCCTTTTTAAGATATACTTACACCCTTCTCATCATACTCCAGGGACATGTTGAACACTTCTAGTAGGGAGAACTGTAACGCGTGAAGAGCAAGCCTAGCACTTCGATCATCCTCAAATGAAACCACAAAACAGCCATCTTGAGGTCTGTATACGATACTGGTGGCATCAAAAAGACCACTAAAGAGCGCTTCAACATGTGCAGTAGGCAAAAGCATCCCACAACCAAGTTTTAGTAAAGTGTTGGTTTTCACAGGGTTACGGGGAGCCAAGCAGGTCTGCAAGTGAAGCTCCGACAGAAGGGTCTTTGATGAAGGGGTTAAATATTTAGGTGGTAGTGATTCCCTGCTGGGTCTGGCTCGCAAGAATGTCTCTAATGAAAGCCCTGATGCCCATAGTTGAAAAGCAGCCGCTGCTTCAGGCCCAGTAAACTGTACTTTGACAATACGCCGATGGTACTCCACCGATTCTATCGCACCAAATTGATGCGCTGCATCACATGTCCATTTCTCGAGATGAGTTTGGATGTATTCCAGTACCTCGTCCTCATTCCCTTCGGAATGGGGCATACCGCAAGGAGAGGTCTGTTTCAGCGCGAGAAAAACAGCGCACCAGGAGATGGGGGCCGTGGCCGTCTTGTCAAGAAGCATCGCTAGCCCGTCCAGCAAGCCTCCATATTGATCCGAGTACACTTTCCAGTAACGATTCCATAAATCCAAGTCAACCATTCTAGGAGTGATTTCCGGGGCGCTGCCTTGGCGAAGTGAACCTCGTTCCCCAGAGCTAAGGTTTTTTCTTGTCGGAGTCTCATTTTGTGAGCCGCTCGATTGAGGGATGGGAGCACTGGGTTGGTCGTTTTTTTGATCCTGAGGCTCAGTGCGGGCGACCGTACTCAGGGAAAAACACCCCCTACGCCACTTTTGGGCTTTCCATCGCAGCGAAAACGACGCCCACGCCGCGTTGATGTCTTCTTGCAAGGAGTGATTTTGGGGCATCCAGGTAGTTAGGCTTAAATTCGCTTTGTTATTACTACGGGATATACGGGGGGGGGGGCGGGACTGAGGTTGTTTGTTTTTCTTATGCAAGGGAGGGGGAGAAGGCTTAACCTGTGTTTCAAAAGAAAAGGAAAACCTTTCACTATCTGTCCTTTAATAACCCCTTCCCCAGTTAGTTAGCAGAATTCAAAATATTATATTTACACACAATAATTAACTCGATTTTAATGCGTAACCTATGTGATTTATGTTCCCAGTCACTTTATTTTAGATTCCTTAATTTTCTTCACCATAGTCGAAATTTTCCTCATCGAACATGTCCCCCATATCATCATCATTCTTTTTTTTGATCGTGTTCCTTTTGCGCTGCTTTCGGTTGCCCTCCAGATCTTCGTCGCTATCAATCTCCCGCTCTTTCTCTGCGTTACTAGCGTTTTTTTTGCTGTTGGTGTTGCCATCATTCTTATTGTTTTTTCGTTTGCCGGCGTTTTTCTTTCGTTTGTTTCGTCCATCTTCGTCACTATCATTGGCAGCCAAATCAGTTACAGGATCTAGACCCAATTGTTGCAACTGTACCACTAACTCGTCCTTCACGGCCCCCAAATTCCTTGCAAGTGGATCGTTATATGCATCCATACCATCCTCTTCACCGTCACCAGTGTGTGAGTCCCCTCCATCGCCTTTTTTCATTCCTCGTCCCACCACGTTCTCATACTCGTTAGCCTTTCGCTTGACAGAGCTCCCCTCTATATCTTTTTCGTAGTGGTCGCCTGGAGAGGGAACCGAGGGATCCTCTTCAAGTTTGTCACCCGAGGAAGCATTTTTCCTACGTTTTTCCTTGGTACTCTTGGCAGCTTTTTGGTGTTGTTTTTGTTTCATTCCTTGGTCCATATCAACTTCTTGAAAACTACTTGAAGTCACTTCGAAACCCTTGGTGCTTTTGTAGCCACCGGATGGCTTTAAATCTATCTCAAGCGCAGAACACGCTGTCGAGACAGCCGACTGATCCTTGGCGGCCGCTAAGAAACTTGCTCCATCACTTTCGCCTGCAGCCATCACAGAAGCTTCCACCACGTGTACGGTACTTCCATTTGGAAGCTCCGCCTTTATGAAGCTCTCGATGACTCCATAAAAGTTCGGCTGCATCAACAACAGTACGGAGTAAGTTTCCGCTCCATCGTTCAGATCAGTGGCCAATTCCGTCCCTGCAGGGTCAGTTTTCACAACTTCCACGATCTGCGCATTGTGTGCGTCGCACCATGTTCTTAGCTTTTCTATCGCAGCAGCAGTCCTCGTTGAACAGCGAAGCTTCATGTTTGCACGGCTGATGGGGATGATCTGAGACTCAACTAGCTGATGGATAAGCGAGAGCGCCTGCTTTTTGGCTGGCTGATCCAGCTTGACGCCCGCCCCGATTTCCCTTAGAGCCTGCTCAATCACAAAGCACGGAAAGGGTCTCTGTGTATTGGAGTTGATACATTTCTGGGATATGATGAGTGCAATGTCTTTAAAAATTTCGTCCACCTCTGCTGTGCGCTCATGCTGCGCTACTTGTAATTCTCCGTGTATTAGCATATACTTGATGGCATCTTCGGTGGACATGTTGGGGCCGAAGACAGCTTGAATATCTTTTTCGGGAGCAATATGGCCTCGCGAGACGTTGGAAAATATGCGATCAACCTGCAGCACTTCATCCAATCGATCTTCAGTGCCACTACGATAGGAGATGACTTTGTTTTTGTAGCATGCGATTTCCAGGCGCACTCCTTTTCTTGTGTAGCGCACCACCGCCACATTAGTATGACGGCGCTGAGAGAGTGGAACCTGCATGCGAGCACTCATCTTTGATCGAATAGTTATGTTCTTGGATTTGATATCGAATGCATAGGGTACTCAATTAGTGATTCCTCCGACACGAAGGCGTTATTTACGCCCTTCTGTCTAGTTCTATTTTTAGTGTCTGAAAGGAAATAAGAAAAAGGAAATAATTTTTAAATATTATTTACACATGTAGCTCTTAAGCCATTTTTGAAATCGCGTGGATCTCGTTCGTTTCTTGTACGCACAGTTATGCAGGTTGCTTATGACCTTCTTTAATCTTTCACGTTCTACCGCTCTTTTTTTTTTTGGAACAACGTTGGAAGCAAATAAAGAAAAGAGTATCTAAGCGTAAACAACGTGTATGTGAACCGCTGATGCCTGCAACACAGTATGGTTAAAAATTTCACAGACGTAGATCTATATCAGAAAAAAAATGAGCTATTAAAATACACCCTTCTTTAATGCACAAAGTGCAAAATAGTTTTACAGAGATAATGTTGAAATACAAAAATTAGAATAAATGCAAGCGAATGTATATATGCACTGGTGTTCATTTCAGCTCTTAATGTGACATACTCGTTTACCACCTCTTCGCCTCCATCTCTATAAATTTACTTTCAGTCATCAAGTATGATAAGCAACACAGGTCATCAGCCATTCTTTTAATAGAATTTTGAGATTTTAGCGGAAGTAGTAGCAATGCATTTTTGTTTCTAAAAGCGATCACACAACACTTATTTATCTGAGACTGTCACACACGACCATATTTTGAGCGGAATTGGGTCAGTTTGTCATCCTTGACCCGTAACAGCTCCTCAAGCTTCATAATCTTCTCGCTAAGAATACCAACTGTTTCCCGCAACTCTAAAATGGTTCGATCTTTTTCATCCAACAAGCGTCGCAAATTATCGCCGGCTGCAGCGCTATGATCAGCGCCGTTCGCTAGGCCATCCTTTCCTCTCATGGTATCATAATCACCCATTCTAGTGCCTGTGGATGTTACCATTGGCCTACTACTGAAGTTTGCTTTAGACATCCTTGCCGTCCGCGGACGTGAGCCATCCACAGTTACCGGGGTTCCGACCCTACCATAGCCCTCGCTCCGCGTCGGCTGAGGTGGTGGATGGTGCGCCTGAAGTTCATCTCTTTGAGCCTTGATTTGTGTAATCTTGATGCGAAGGGCACGTAAAAAACGCTCTATGGCGCCTGGAACGGCTGCTACAATATCATCGATTTCCTCATCCGGAACTTCAAAGTAAAGCCTTCGAAATACGTGAGTGTTGAGAGTGTGCCAATTATCTCGTTTCTTCGCTACAGACATCGCTGGCGCGTAGTTGTGCAGTTCCACAAGTTTTGGGAAAAAATATTTGACGATCTCAGCTACGCAGCAGCCATCGGCGAAGTCGCGAGCGATGTTGCGTTTTGGTCGGGAGATGGGAATACTGTCTACCCATAGATATAGTTCGTGGAGGTCCTCCTCTGTAAAGGGAATCGAAGACATTTAAAACACTAAATCCACAGCTCCAGAAGTCTAATTTCTGTTATGATTTGGTGTAAATATCTTTTTCCTCTCTTCGTGTGAAGTATAGAGAGTCCTAGGATAAATAAGCAGGGAATTATATATGAGAAAATAGATGCATAGGTCGAAATATTGACGGATCCAAGTAGAAATAATAAAAAGATTTTCAATACTGGTTTCATAGTTGTTATTTTTGTAAACAAGTATTGAACCACCAATATTCTATCTAATATACGTTCCAAATAAATATTAAGAGAATCACACATACATATATATGCATATACATATATTCTTTCACGGTAGATGTGATATGTTGAGCAAATGTAAAAATTGAAAGTACATTGAAGTTCATTTTCCCTTTAATGGTAATAGTGGCAGCCGTGCTAGCTTAGCTTCTTAACAGTGTATTTATGAATTAGACTAAAACTTTGTATAAGTTGAGCCCATCTACCACTCTCCGCATGGCGTAGACAAATTCGCGTGCGGCACGACGATCCTTCACAACGTATTCTGTGATCAATGGCCTTCCATCAGTTTCGTATCCACTCGCTTCTTGAACTACGGGAGAGGGTAGATATCGTTCCACTCTCGAACCCCTTTCTAAGACGCTTTTATTTCCTCCATGATGCACATTCCTAGGAGTGATAAAACTGGCACGACCGCGTCTTGGTGGGGTGTCCACTAACTCATGTACGAAAGAGGAATTATTTTCGGCAGCATCTTTATGATAGCTGCTGCCGAAAGAACTTTTTCCGACCTGCACAAAGGGCGACACCAGCTGGTTTCGATCTCGACTAGTAGACCTATTAAAGTAACTGTTCGATGGGGAAAATGAGTCCTTTAACACATCCTTGACGTCCTTACTATTATTACGAACGTACGTCCCTTCCAGAGAGCGCAAGGGGTCGTATGGGAAGCCCAAGCCTTGACGACGCCCACTAAGATCGCTATTGCTCTCAGGAGGCCTACTGTAGCCGTCGCTGAATTTCTCAGTGCAGGACGCAGCTCGTTTGTAGTCATCCCACGATGTTGATCGTCTTGAAAAGGATGCCACCGGGTCGTGTCTCGTATCGTCTAAGGAATGCCGCGCGGTATCCGGCCAGTTCTGATGGACGTCGTTAAGCATCTTTGTGGGTTGCGAGGGCAAAGACTGAGTCCTCTTCTGCCTAACATGCGGTTGATTAGCTCGGTTCCTATGTTCATCTTCGGCGATAACTTTAGGGGTAGCAAAGCGTGGCCTCATATAAGAGACAAGTTTATGCGTATCATTTTTCGTCTGATACGAAGTTGATGGGAGGACTTCAAATATTCTGGTACCAACTTCTACTTCACTTACAGAAAAATCTCTTGTCATCCCCTTTTCCATTTCCCGATGCTTCTTGTGTTCCTTCTTGAGCCTTCGTTTCTCCTTATTGTGTTTCTTTTCCATTAGTACCCCAAGCTGATACTCCAGCGAAGTGGCTAAGTCCTCTTTGAATAAGTCTTCAATTCTCTCTTGACTACTCTTGTGATCCAGAGGCCGATGTTGATTGGGGCTCCGAGACTTACTCTTCTTTCTCCATTTTCCTTTGGATATTTCGTCTTCTCGGTGGGTATGATGAGAGTGATGTCGGTGTCGGTGATGGTGATGATGATGCCTGTGGCGATGATCGGAACCGCTCTTGGAGGAGGCCTGCACAACGCCCAAGGGTGGCTCTGCTTCAGGAACGTCTGACTGTCGAATGAGTGATGATCCACTGGTGGCCTGTACTTGGGATGCATCACTGTCCTGTGAAAGGTTGACATCTCTATTCATTGATCGCCTTGGAGAGGTTCTACTCAGTCGGTCTTCCTGCTCAAAGCTTCTTTCCTTCCCGAGCAGAGGGGTGGGGTCTGATCCAGATCGATTGTCAACGTTCCTACACGATTTATCGCATTGCTTCTCGCGTCCCCGATCAGATGGACTGCTTTCCAAGGAAGGAGGCCTCGCGCTATGGTTAGTATTTCCTTCGCCTCCTTGTCGGCCACCTTTATCATCATCTATTTCGTTTTGGACGGACCGGCATCGATTTGAGTTGTGGTGCTGAGTGCCTTGAGTTTTCTCCCCATTGGATTGATGAATGGAAAACGCCCCTAAGTTGCTGTGGCCATGCGCGTGACTTTGGGGCTTTTTAAGGGTCTGACAGGATTGCTTATCCACATTTTGAACTGAGTCGAAGGTAGCAGAACTTTCAGTCAGCACCTCTTTATTGTACATTTTTTTTTTTTCGTGCTTCGAAGAGAGGAAGGTACCATTGCTTAAAACAAATTGAAACGGGTTTTGAGAAGCCATATCGCCCAAATTTCCCCTCGTAATCGAAAGAGTGCCCTTTTCGGTCTCATCGGAATCAACATGTGATCTGGAGAAGAGAAGGGGCATCGGTTCGTCGGTAGCTGATACTTCCCCCGTAGGCAAATGCACTAAGTGAATCGCAGGTTTGGCAATCCAAATGGGCATAACCGCATGTTCACTGGTGTTTCTATTATATATTCTTCCACTACCTTCCTTCGGAGTCTGCAAAGCATAACTGATGTTGGCGTCTTCAGAGCTCTGAAAGGGCTTTTCCAGCTGAACCTGTATTTGCTTAGAAGTTTTGTGTGACTCCTGGGCACTGACGTGCGGATTTCTCAGAGTATTGGACCCGATCCCACTTGGTTCTTGAGCATCATAATGAGCGCCATTTGTGCTGCTTTTAGGTAAATCCGCGGTCATTGCTCGCTTGCGCTGTTTTTGGTCCATTTCTGTGATGTCAGAATCATTTTGAAGGGTCAAAATTGGTCCTTCATGCTGTGTAGACGTTGACTCCTCTTGCATTATGGAGATAAAATCGTCCTCGATAAGGATTTCATTTCTTGCAGGGCTAACATCAGGCTCAATATGTGCAGGAGAAGAACCCGTTGCTAATGACGAGTTTGTCTTCCGTCGCGTGTGGCTCTTTTCACTGACTCTTATGGAGTCTGGCTTCTCTTCATCCAGGAATCGTCCTTGCACCGAGTGTACAGGGTCCAATTCTTTTGCCCTTGCATCTGAACAAAATTTAATTACTTCGTGTTCAGAGGGCCCAGTACCGCTCGTTCGTGCAGGTGAAGCAGAGGAATGGTTGCTAAAAGACTCCAAGGAAGTTCCTAATAACTTCGGTTTGGAATGGTTCTCCCTTTGGCTCACATCCTTGATATCATCTTGACTCCTTCGCTTTTTCTTTTTGTGCTTTGTTTTACCAGTGATTCGATGGTGAGAGTGATCGCTGCTAGACTTCGAGGTCGAGCGGGTCATGAAACTATTGAACAGCTTCTTCAAAGCGCCTGCCCGGTCACTCTCTTGATCAGCTCCAACTTGCCGTATGGGAATAATACTCATTTTTACGATAGAATTGCCATCAGACGCGTCACCGTTTTTCCGCTTTCGGCGTGTGACCAAAATGAGGTTCTTTCTGGTCACCTTTTTCGACTGCAAAGGAGTGTCATAAGGCTCTGGGTTCGGTGATGGTTGAGCTGCAGCATCATGATACAAGGACGTGTCGGGGTTTCCACCTTTGGAGTCCTTCCGGGGAGTTACAGCGGCGTTCTGTTTAGTAGTATTCTCTCGTTGAGGGCTGGAATTAACAGGGATGAGTGGCTTCACGGCGGCGGCTTCACCCTTCCGAACTTCATGTGAAACACCGATCTTCGACACTGGATCAGGGCTAAAAGAGCCATAATCTGGGATAAATTTCCTTGAAAATTCGTCAGTGGAATTCATTTTTTCTTCTTTTGGATGAATCAACGCACCATAGGAGTTATTATTGTTCACCTGATGTGTCAACGGACTCTTTGTCCTCTTGATTTCGCTGGAGTTGCGGTGTGCTGCTGCCGGTCTACTTCCGGAAGGATCGGAGGAAGGCATCCCTGGTGTGGCACTATCAGAACGAAGCGAGTCATCTGCCGAATGCCCTTTCGCAGAGTGGTTTGAGTGCTCTCGAGGATAGGAATAAGTGGGCACAGATTGCTCAGGCTTTAAACTCACAGAGGATGGGTGGATTTCACGTTTGCCCTTGCTACGAAGGACGTCTAAACTTTTGGGCGGCGATTGGGGTCGATGCGTGGATGATATCACGCGGGGTACTTCACTCGTAGAAGAAGCCGTCCCATTTTCGCAAAGCGCGTTGGCCTCGCCGGGGTTCTCGTATGCAGGTTGTAAAGTAGAGAATGATTCGCTCCGATAATCCTGCAGCACCTTTACAGGGGTAGACTCTTTGTGTTTTGAGGATATTTTGGATTCAATTCTATTTGAGTCTGTGCGTTCCCCTACTTTCTTGGTTATCGTCGTATCAGTTAAGTGTGATCTATCCATGTTCGGCATGGAATCACGCCCCATGCTATCCGACTCTGAGTGAACTGAGCTAGTATCCTTGCCGACGCCTTTTTGTGAATGTTGGAAATGATCGCGATGGTTCAGTGACGCTGCTTCTTGTGAATTGCCTCGTTTCTCTAAAAGGGCGTCGTGATGACTGTTGGGGATGGATACCAATATAGGTGTGTTGCTAGATGTGCTACTGCCTTCTGAATAAAAAGATTCCTCAAGTGCTGAGTCAATGCTTTTTTCATGTACAAGAGTAGTTTCTCGTTGGGATGGGCTCTTCAGACTATTCGAGAGATGTTGAGATTCTGGTGAAGCCTGAACGTGGGGCGAGTGTGACTGGCTTGAAATTTCACCTTGGTGCTTATCCATTTGGGATGCTTCAGATGTTGATGATTCTTCAGTGTACGAGTCTTCCTCTGGAATGATGGTTCTCCGCTGTGTGTCTGTCATGACTACCTCTGGTGGGGGATCGCCCTCAGCAAACCTGTGTGAGTGAGGCTGCGTTCTTGATGGCCCTTCGCCTAACGGTTCCTGGGGAGTGGCAGCGAGCATCGCTACGCGAGGTTGTGCATCGACGGTGTCATCGTTGACATCATTTCTATTATTGGAAACGTTATGTTGTTCCATAAGTTGATATTCACGGGACTGTGACCTGAAAGTATCTTGTGGCCGCTGCTGCAGACTATCTCGATTGTTTATCACGGGGTGTGAATTCGCAAACGAAATCGAGGACCGTCCGTATATTTGAATAGTCTTTAGGACACTGTGGCCAATGGAGGGCTCACTAATGTCATAGTCACTCTCTTCATCGTAATCATCTCTATCTTCTACAACTTCATCCCGCATCGATGCGAAAGAAATGCGGTGAAAATTTTTACGTGGCCGACTACTCCCAGGCTGACGCAAAATTGACCGTGGAGTTGTGTCCGTCCTGATCACATTTGCGCTGTCATTACTGTAACCTGCACCTCTGCCTTGCGAAGGGACTTCTTCCTCGTGCGACCTTAGAAATCCTACGGGAGATCGATTAGTTGGATTAGTGTTACCGTTTTTCAAGGGGTAAAGCGAGTCCGAAACGAGAGACTGTCGTTCTGAGGACCGCCGAGGATAATCCTGCGACGAGGATCCATACACGAAGTGACGATTTTCTATATTTAACGATGAATTGCGCCTCGATTGTGCTGTTATCTCTGAGGCTGATACGATTTGTAATGGAAGTGATGCCGTTTCCTTTCTACTGTGTTCTTCTGGAGGGCCCTCGGGCTGCAGCAAAGGGGATTGCCGAGGCTCCTTTTCAGGCTGTGGTGCACTACTTCTCACCACTTCTTGCATGTCTTCTGGAGATTGTGAAGAGAAGGACGAGCTGGTTTGACTATTTATTAGGGGCGTATCAAAGCTCACATCTTGATCATCATCGAGGGTTAGATGTTCTCCTGCTGATTGTGAGGCGTTCTCAACAACAGGGTAGAGTTGGTTCTCAGTGTCAGAATGGCCAGAGGTGACCCTTTGGGATCCTTGCAAAGCAGGTACTTCTTTTGTACCTGAACGAAACAGAGATTGAGAGGGTTCCATTATGACTGATACTTTTGCAAACACGTACCACTAGACAAAAAATGTAGCTCCGAAAAAAACCAAAGCGCACTAGGAGGAAAGGTAAAGTTGAAGCTATGTAAAAAGACAATCTATAAATCCTGTTTTCTCTACGCAACAGGACAGCTACTCAAAGTGTTATACTAAGGGGAAAGAATAACGCCGAAAACAAACTCATTTTTTTGTATGAGTGATGGGATACAAGACCGAATATTCACTACACAAATACAAAAAAATTAAATAAAAAGTATATAAGACACGTGTATAATATTATAAAGATGATACCTCTAAATATGTTATCCGGTGATAGCTATAGGTTTTCTAGCACACGCAAACAACTTATTGTCTTCCAACAGCCACCGTGCTGCTGTTGCTTTGCAGCACATACATGATTAGAGATTATTGCTGACCCTTGCTTTCGAATCTCTCCCAAGAGGATGATAGGCTGTCGAAGAAGTGACCATATGCACCACGGATTAGTAGAAGCATAAATAATCAAATAAATGTTTATGAAATCGTGAGTATGTATTGTATAGATTACAATGTATTTTGCTTGTTTGTTCTGATAAAGAATCTTGTTTTTTCCCTGAGACCTATACCGTATCAGATCATGCGAGTTTTGACTGGGTACAAACAAAGAAGTTATCCCTGCTCGTGCTTTTGTTGTCACTTTTTCGACACACAATCCGAACCACTTGCTCTAAAAGGGTTAGTTTCCTCAACATTTATACCAGAATATAATCTATTAAACTGTCTTTGACTGTTAATGGGTACTCAGCCTGAGTTCGTCTTTTAAGCACGAATCTTACAAACGCACCTTGAGCTTGATGACAACGCCAATTCAAGAGAACATTTTCATTTTCAGTTAAAATAGACCCACTTTTTAAAGTATCCATAAACACCAAGGATTACTTTTGAGCACAAAAGCAAGTTTTTCAAGCAAACTCAGCAAAGTTTTTATCTCTCCTGATATATTTTTTTGTTCATTACAACACAAGGGCAAAAGTGGAGGGAAAATATATAAAGATTCAATTGAATGCCTTAAAAAGAAAAAAATAATGTGTGCGTGAAAAAAAAGTGACTTCATTTTGAAACGGTGGGGTAATGTTATACACCTCCTTTGATCATAATTTTCAGCTTCCCCCTTTTCCCCCCTCTTGCTCTCCCTAGGTTGCCGAACATTAATGAGTATGTAGAAAAAAATGACATAGCACAAGAATATGGAAAAAAAAGCAGCAAATAAACGCAAGTATGAAGCAAAACATAATTAAAATAAATGCATAAACTCAGTATGAGGTACGCACGCACATAATATACGCAGCGGTTGAAATTCCTCGATCCTTTGCCCTCACCATATACATTTCAAATAAAAGAATGACACTTCTGCGCTTGAACATCAAATACCAGCTCACCTGATATGAAGTCGGAAAAGGTTTCCATGTTGATCGTGTCATAGAATGTTTTAGAGATAAACTGAATCACGTCCTCAACCTGTGAGGGGTCGTTAATGAACATGAGCCCCCCCCCCCCGCCCGACGGGGACCGTTCTCCGCCGGCCTCCTCAGCCCCCTCGTTCACCTCCCACGAGGCCTCCCCTCCCCACCCTTTGGGTGTCTGGATGACGGTGCTCTCGTCGCTGGTTTGGATCACCATGAAGGTCCACTCCGCCAACGGACGGGTCTGGGAGACGTGCCAGCGCACCTCATTGACGGACAGCCGGATGGAAAGCTCCAGCCCGACCTCGCCGGGGTGAAGCCGAAGGGCCGGCCCCGCCGCCTTTCCCCCGCTCGAACGCGCACTCGACTGCGGCGCGGTGACCGGGGAGCCGAACCGCCCGGAGGAGGAGGGGTTCCCATTCGGGCTGCCCCGCGGGAGATAGGGGTGAGAGGGAAGCCCTTCTTGGACCTCCGCGGCCCCTGGAAAGGCGGGCTCCCCTACCACGAGTTTCGTGCTGAAATCCCTGGTGGTCGTGGCGGCGGCGGCGGTGGTGGCGGTCGCGCCCAGGCTCGCCCGGGGGGTGAATCGGTTGCTACTCGAGCTGCTCGGGGAGGAGCAGCGGCCCGGTCGTTGACTTTGCCCCCGCACCCGACGCTCCGAGTGCTCCCGACGGGAGAGCTCGACGATAGCCGCGATTTCTTTCAGCGCCCGCTCATACGCGGGCGCGATGGTGGGGTTATGGGTTTCGCACACGACAATCTGGGTATCCCCTAGTTTGTGAATCTGCTGCGTGACGGGCACCACAAAAGGCTGCTCGTGAACGCGCCGTAGGGCGGCCAATTCGTCTTCTTGAGCGGCGTCCAGTGGGTATGGCGTATCGGGAAGCGCCTCAACTTCTCGGACGCCATCCATCGGCATGCTAGTATTCGTGGTTCTGCCAAAGAAGCTCAAAACGGCAGAGAAAACCGCAGTAGCAGCCGGCAAGGCAGCAACCAGGCTAGAACTCGAAACGCTCGAGGGGTTTCGTCCGATGCGCAGCGAGCGCTGCAGTGGTGCCGGATGCGGTGCCACCGGCGCGTGAAATTCAATGACGTATAAAATGGTATATAGAAACGATGGAAGTGCCGACGGCGTCACGCGTATTGGATAACGCCCTAAACTTGGTGAAGATGGGTGTGTATCGCAAGGCGTTGTCGGAGGGGCTGCCGGGACTTGTGGAGAGCTGCCATTTGAGTTGACCCCTTTGTAGGTTGCATAGTTGAATTTATGATAGTTCATTTCCTTAAACCGCTCTCCTCTGATGTTTATATTGGAAACTCTTGTCTATTTCTATGTATATCCCAACAAATCTTACACTTTATTGCTGCTTATTACGGATTTTTTTTTAAGCAAAGCGAGTATTGACTGTAAAAGAAAACAACTTGCAAAAAATGTCGTAGAGTTGAGTTTCGATCGCAGGCTACAAATTAAGAGTTCGTGAAAAGGGAGAGGGATGTAGGGAAAACAGAGAGTCTTAAATTTACAATTTTACTATGAAGGCCACAATACGTAGTTTGGTGTAAGTGATGTCTCCCAGCTTTCTTAGACACAAGTCAACAAGCTCTTTGATATCTTTACAATGATATCGCTAGTACTGTTTTTCTTTCTCTTTTTCTTTGAAAGCCTTTTGCTTTCGCACACTTTTTACTAGAGAGAGGCCTTCTCCAGTAGACAAGCTAACTCCCATTCCGAACCAGGGAACTCTACTTCAAGTAGCTTAGATCGAGATGTGGTGCCACGAGCAACACGAACTTCCACACGCGTTGGAAGCAAGGGTGCGTTTTCACTTACATGAATGACTCTGCTTTTATCTTTCGAGTCGCCCATTTTACTACGACCGTTGGGCTTGTCCATACCCTTCCCTTTTACTTTCCTACGAAGGTTGGAAGTGCCCCCTTCCACAGCATCATTGCCCACCTTAGGAACATCAAAGAGGGTGGGTCTCGACATGATGTGTGAAATACCGGCGAAAAATTCCTCTGGAGGTAAGGCGGAATTCCGAAGCTCCCGCACGCCCATCTCCAAGGTTGTTTGCATGAAGTCCACGAGTTCCTTGTTGGCTTGACCTTCCACCGGGGGAGCCGCCAGGCGTACTTCGAGCTCCTCATCGGAAGAATTCGCAACTGAGGCAAAGCCGGTCATCTTAGAACCTGGTTTGACTCGAACAGCTATAGAATACACACCTGGTCTAAGGACTCTAATAAATGAGGCCATACTTTGACAACATAGCATCCCCCTTTACTCGTACAGCCTTAGGAACGTGAAAAAAAAACAAGCATGGTTTCTAGGTTTTCACCACTCCGTCCTCTCTTTTTTACTCCCTCTTGCACAGAGAGGTAGCGCAGAATAGACAGATCCTAGGGCAGGAGAAAGCAGGTAAAGACTTCTTTGTTCGTGGTTAAATACTAGTATATTTCCATTCCATAAGTATTACAACGCTAAGTCATTAGGAAAAAAAAGGAAAACGATCTCTACGATATCCTAGCAACGCGGGGTAAGACGGTTCCCGTTTCAATACACTACCATTCGAAGTGTTCCTATTCCACTTTTTCACTTCATCGCCTCGCTATTTCATCTTGGAATAGGTGTCTTCGGGTAAAATATTCATGTAATTACCCTTGGATGGGATGAACCCGTCTTCGTCCTCCTTCCCATCGTGAAACGCGTACTCTGGGACGCGGTAGAGGGTCTGCCCATCGCGCAGCTCCTCTCGCTTCCGGACGGGGTACGCCACATCTGCGTAAGCCAGATCGTTCTCATTCGCCTCCTCCAGCAGGGCCGGGGTATCTTTGACCAAGGGCTCCGCCGTCTCCTCTGGGGTCGCGGGGCGCTCCGAAAAGACCGCCCGCACGCCATACGGGTAGTCTTTTTCGTACTCGAAGCGACGTACATACCGCGCACGGCGGTCCTCCTCGGTGGTCTGGGCGTGAAACAAATCCCCCGGGAGGAGCACCGTCGCGACTTTCGTCTGGCCGTGGTGGTAAAGCTCCGGTTGCACCGCCCGTGGCGGGGCGCGGTTGGATCGCTTCAAAACATCCTCGAAGGTGGGGCATTCATTCGCGAGCTCGGACATAATCACGACGTTCGGCGCGGGCATCTCCATAATTCCGGCGTTAAAACGCGCTATCCCTTCCATCGGCGAGACCCACACCAGCTTTTCACCCACGGTGGTGATGGTGTGCTGCACGTCGGGGATCTTTTCATACGGAATCAGGTAGACCAAGTTGTCGAACCGAAAGGTTTCCGTCGTCGGGGTGATGATGTTTCGAAACGGAAGGAACTGCGAGAGACACGTCTCCATGGGTAATTCCAAGATATCTACCAAATTTTTCATCGCCTTGGGCCTCGAATGGACGATCAGATGCCATTTCCCCGGGCCTGGGGGACCCTCAACCTCCGCTAATCCACCCCCCTCTTTCGGGATTACTAAGAGGTTGGTGAAGGTGAATAACGCCCGCATCGCGGTGAGGCGATGCGCCAGATCCGGCCAATGCGAGGTGACGCCGCGCCGCCGCAGAATCTTCTGCCAGTCCTCGTTACTATCCTCAATGGATACCGGGAAGGAGGGCAGGACGAACTGGTCCTTCGCTAAACGCAATTTGCTTTCTCGGAAGAGCATCAGAATCTTGTAGTCGTTATCCCCCCCGGCTTGCACGGTTTCGGGGTCGATATGTCGGTTTTTGGCAACCACCACCGCCGTGGCGGCGCGGCGGGTGGGAACGGGCTCGCCTAGCTTTGGCTTTTCCCCGTACTCGCGATCGGCGAAGGGGACTGGGGTGGACCAGTACTCCTTGAACTGCTCCTTGTAAGGGCTGATGGAGGCCTCTAGGAGGGGATGAGACATGCCCGGCTTCGCCCGGAAAGAAGGACTTTCATTCGAGACATTGAGAAGAAAACGGGCCAACGTACGCCGCATGAGACTTAGGGGAATAACCAAGTAGTGTAATACAAGAGTTCTGTGAGGGGTAGTATATAAAAGTCAATCAGTAAGTAAATAAGTTTTAAGTGTTTTGAAAGGAATCCTTTTCCTTTTTTTGTATAAGTGTGAATGTGAGTATGTGTGAGGGTCCTCTACTTCTCTAACAAGTCAAATTCTATGTGACAGACTACTAAACATAAAATAAATACTATCAGTCGTTAAATAGGTTCAAATTAGCTGCTGGCAGGACGAAATTACTTCACGAGAAATGACCAGGAAGGGCGCCAACATTAGACTTGGCGAGAGGCATAAGCCTACACCTGGATGCCAAGGTGTCTAGTGTTAAATTATTAGTTTTCGTTTAAAGGCGGGAGTGGGTGGGCCGGGTAAAACCCATACATTTGAAATGCGAATGCTCATTCTCTTTGGGCGGGAAATGCAAAAAAAAGATAATAGCTCCGGTTCAATATTCTTATTTTTTTTGTTTGTTTCCACCCAGTAAACGTTTCTCTTCTTTTCTTTCTATAACTAGTTGATCATCGAGTGCTATGCATGAAGGTTGCATTAGAACGACCTTTGGGAAAATCCCTCATCCACGCGTTATATAAATAATAAAGAAGAGGTTATCAGTACGACTTTGATTCGAAAACCCTGGTAAGCATGCCGAGCCTTTAACGTTTTGAACACTTTCCTTGAAAGAATGTTTCCCTTGAATTGTATTTATTATTTTTACTTTCCTTACATAACCTAATCTATCGCCACCTAAAAGATCAATTGTTATCTTTCTCCACATCGCATAGATATATGCGTGGCTGCGTGGGTATATAGATGATTGTGCCGCCAGAAAATAGATTCTGTCCCCTTTGTTTTCTGTTGTTGGTCATCGTTTTTAGGTCACCTGGTGTTGCTAGCATTTCAGAGACATCGAATTCAACACCCCCAGAAACGGGAAGCCATGCATACAACGTATCTGGGAGAAAAACTTTCCCACACCCCACTTTTATTGGATCGCCCTTTTTTCTTTTTCCACCGTATCTTCACTTATCTTTCATTGCGGCTCTTCCCATTACACTCATACGACGCTTTTTGGGCTGGGTTGCACAATCTTAGTTCGAGAAACGCGAGCGGGCGAGGATCTCCCGGCGGCGCGTGTTACGCGTCCGTTCGTTCCGCTCCGATCCCGAAATCCGGCTGCGTCGGGGCGCCTCGCGACCCTTCACGCCGCCACGGAGGTCCTCCGCGCGATCCCGCCACACCCGGCCGCGGGGCTCCGCCGCCCGCCGCATCGGCCGATTTCGTCGGGGCGCCAAACGGCGATCGGGGCCGCCACGCAGGCGACGGCGGTCCTCAAGCGCCCCCCCCCTTTGCGGGCGACGCGCCCCTCCTCTTTCCCCCCGTTGCCCGCCTCTTTTCCCGCCTTTTTCGCCTCCACGGGCGGGAGTTGGCCGGCGGCGGGGGGCCTTGGCGTTGCCGCCAGGTTGATTTCCCCCCCCTCCGCCCGGACCGCGGCGGCGGCGGCGGAGGTCCTTGTCAATCCCCTGCTCCTTGATCAAGTCGGAAAGCGGGCGGTCGATAATTTCCATGGGGTTTACCGGAGAATGAAATGGAATACGTACTTGGTCTACAAGAAATAGATATCTTGGGAGTGGGAGCACAGAAGATGGAACCGACAGATGGACGTAAAACACATAGCACGATCAATTGACCCATCAATATAGAAACCCATAAAACCAGTGGGAATGGGGGAGCTTTCATGGTGATTATTTCTTTTTCTTTTTTTTTTAGGATGATTCAATAAAATCACAGAAATCTTTTAATTTTCCTGATAGTACGCCACCTTTCGCCATTTTTACCGCCCCAAGGGGACCACCAAATGCTTTCCACTGCAGCTGACCGTTTTCAGCCCCACAGCCAGAGGCGCGGAGAACGATACCGTCGATACCACCACCGCCGTAAGCGACAGTAGACTCGGTGGTACTTTGGGAAAATCCTAGCAAATGGCAAGAGACCTCGCCTAGTGAACACTCCACCACCCCTTCTTTTCCAGACCGCTCTGAAAAATCATGTGCAGGGGCCGAGCTCTTCCCCTTTTCTGGTGTTTTGCGAGACGATTTCTCCGGTTCACTTCCCCTAGGCTTTACCAGGTAAAGAATGGAGGACCATGGCTCACCAGTTTGCTCGACCACGATGGCGTCTGGTAGCATGAGCAGAACCGCACCCTGAACGCCACACGGATTGCCTTTGAAATGCTTCCTACCCTTTTCCCTTTCCGAGAAATCCAAACTTTGGCAGGGATGCCAGGCTTGTTCAACGATTTCTACAACTTCCATGCACCACGACAAATGCGCGAGGCACCTCAGAAGCTCAAAAGAGAGCTTCTGCGCAAGGCTAACACGATGCTTAGGATTTATGGGGGTAGCGGAATAGCCGCTTGCGGACGCTGATTTCACTTCATCAGAAGAGTGGATACCGACGCGATTTTCATGAGATTTCAAAAACATTGAAAAGAAAAGAGGAATCAGGGTATCGGTTATAATCGTGTCCCAGTTTGTTGAGGCGTGTAGCCTCACCTCAGATGGGTTTGAAGAGGGTTCTTGCTGATCACGAAAGAAGGTCTCTGGGCGTTCAAAAATATTCCCTCCCTGGGGCGCTGATACCCCCGCAAACCAGCAGCGTCCATCTATCGGCGTGGGGAAGGCCTCTGAGCAGCGGAAGGGGCTAAACTTCAGATCCTTGCAGGATACCGCACTTTGGCAGCCTTCGATCCCCCCTCCCGACTCCGTTTTGATGCGCTTTCGCTCAGACGGAGCGCTGGAGTCCGCCATCGCGCCATCCGCATCCTTTTCCATTCCCGCATTGAACACGAAATGACGCTCGAGGCTGTTTGCGGTGCTGCGCGTCTTCGAGCGATCGTCGTTGAGCGCGCCAACCGGGGCGTTTCCGAGGCCATTGCGGGGACGGATTGAGAAGTGAATGTTATGTTGGAGTGTTCGGTGCAAGACGCTACTATTTTCTCTCGAATCCATAAAGCATGGACGGTAGTGATGCAGCTGGAATACGGCTACCGGACTGCGCCCAGGGAGCTGCAGAATCAAAAGCGCCTGTGCGAGGGTGTGAAGCAGCAAATGCCTGTTGCGTAGCGAGCTACTTCGCGCATTAGGATGGGGGATTGATACCGCAACCTCTGACAGCGATGTCGAGGACTGAGGTTGGGGAAAGGATGGGTTAGGATCCGTTGATTCAGGGTTCGCGGGGATAAACACGCTATCCTGAGGGTTTACCCCTGCCGATGTGGATGTTTGGTCTGCAGTGTTGAGGGCAGAGTAATAGGGTGCGATACCGAAATCCTGCTCAAGAGCGAGAAGAACAGCCTGTGAATCGGCGGAAAGGGGTGTCCGTGTAGGTGGTGGGGTTGGAAAGAGGGGGTACCCTGACAGGTCTACAGCTTCCGTGCTCATGAACGGTTCCTCAACGTAGTCTTTCGGGATCTTGTGATGCATTGAGGCCTCCGTTGCTTTGGAAACATTGGTGCATGGAGGCATCTTTGGCTGGTTTGGACTACTCTCCACTCTGTCTGTTTCACTTGCCCCTTCTCCCAACTGACTAGGGGCCGTTGGATTAGTTTCTTCCGCTGATGGAAATAATGCATGATAGATAAAGGCGGGTATTGGTGTGGTGAAACGTGCGGAAGAAACTGCGCGTCCTAGAATGGTTTGAGAATTAATACTCGCATAGGGATGGACGTGATCCCCGATAAGATGCAAGGCTTCACAATGAGAGGATAAACATACGTAAGGACCGCCTCTGGGCTTTGGTGATGATGAAGAGGAGGGACTTGGCTGCATCTTGCATCGTTTTTGTTTATAATTTGCTACACTTTATTTTATCGCTTGATTAGATGGGCATATTTGCGCTAAACGTCCATGCAGAACGGGGAAAACATTAGTAATTATAGACATATTCAACATCACACGGCAAAAGTCATGTCGAGAAAAAGGGGGGACCTTACCATTTGTCGTCTTTATATCAGAGTAGGACGTAATGATTTTAAGGTTTATATATATATATATATATGCATATATATATATATATATAGTTTGACAGGAAACAGCGAAGAATGAAATCTTGCCCTCTTCGAGAGAGTCGAACCAACCCGCTGAAAGACTATCAGGAGCCCCCAAAACGTGAAAAAGTAGAAATACTGTGTAGTGTTCTCATTTCCCTCATACAGCATCGTCTTCTTCAATGAGTTCATCCTCGACGCTGTATTCCATCTCATTCATGGATGGGTCCACATAATTCGCGTGTTCTGGTGATACAATCACTCCGCTATCAACAAGGCGATTTTGCGTGGGGTCGTCCACGTCCAGTGGGGTTTCGAGCACCTCCTTAATCAGCTCCCGCAGGTCGTCTAGCGCAGCATTGTTTGCCTTGTTCATCGGATCCTTGTATCGTCGCCACAAACAATCATGGAAGGCGTGGCGTAAATCATGGAGGACCTGGAAGGTCGGCTGATCAATCCGGACGAAGATCCATCCGTCGATAACGCACACCCCTAGAGTATCAAAATACTTTATATTTGAGTCGGAGGCCCCAAAAAGCAGGAGCGCCCACAAGCTAATCGACGAAACATTCGTGAGGAACGCCTTGTTTGCCTCGCGGAGGGAGAATATTTCTTGGTAGACGTAGAAGATTGCCGGGGTGGAAGGGTTATCCATCGTCGGGGGCCGCGCTTGGGCGGCGATTTCCTTCATCAATTCTTCTCGCGTCGGTGCGTTATGCGCACGGGGGCGATGACAAACACTCTCCGCCGCCGGCGTGATCGTGGCGTGGGTTTTCGTGCGCAGCCGCAGCTTTCTCGACGAGGTCGATCTACCTCCGTCGAGCATCGGCCGTGGATCGAACACCGCGACGTTTGGGAAGAAAGCTGCGCACAGGCAGGCCTTTACGAGCGCCACGTTTCGCGCCCCTTCCGAGAGAACCCCGGCATCCACGAAAAGCCCCTCTCCTCCTCCTCCCTCCCCCTCCACCCTGATCGGGCGGAGCTCCTCTCGTCGAATCAACCCGGATCGACGGAGGATCTCACAGTACTGCTGTTTATACCGCGAGATGAGCCGGAGGTGGCCGATGTGAAGGTGATTAAACCGCGCAAACTCGACATCCCCGCCGGTGGCGAAGAAGCCATTGTAGGCGTTGAGAAAACTGATCGGATCGCTCTGCGAGCCGCGCGCGAGGATGCCGCGGGATCGTCGCCTCCCCCCCTCGCCTCCCGTCAACTCCTCCGTGCGATCGGTGAGAAACGGACAGACCTCCGCGGCCGCGGCGACGGTGAGGACGGAATCCAAACACCGCAGC